TTTTTTTTCCAATTTATCATGTTTATAACCCTAAACAATAACATATTTTTCTAATATAAAATTAATTATGAGTTATTGCAAAGTTATTTCATGATCACTGAGATAACTTAAAGAAGTGATTTTTTTTCTACCCTTTAAGTAACAAGTTTAATATGTATAAAAGAGCAGTAGCAGGAAAAACTTACATTGGACAATTAGGTTCATTATACAGGGATTCACTGGACTGGAGCAGGGCCCCTATGATAAACATGTAAGCCCTTAAAAAAACTTGATCTGCCACTGTCAATACATCTATTGATTTACATTCTTCATTGTATCTATAAATCATGTCTATGCTCCTACTGAAACTATAAATGAATATATTAAGTAAATTCAAGTATCTTTTTATTTTTCAAGGTAACCCAAATACAGTAAACTTATTTTATGTTTTTTTTTCCCAAATATACCATCAAAAACTTTTAGCCTTGGCCTTTTTATGTATGTGTTTTATGGGGGCCTTATTGTATCCACAACTCCTTAAAAAACACACTTAAAATGTCTTCAAATGAAATTTTCTCAAGTTCTTAAATATCTAATTTCATTCATTTTCATTTTGCACCTCCAATTTGATTTTTGATCAAAATCATATTTAGGATTTCCTTTTCCTAACACAGATTTGGTCATTGCTTTATAAATTTGGGGGCGGTGTAACCAGTTGGTATCTACAACTCCTCTTTCAGACCTCTTTTATTATGATTTTATGAAACTTTATTAGAATCATAAGTATGTAATTGAATAATGTGCACTTCCTAGTTTTAGTTTATTTGACCCAAAGACATATATAGATCTTTAAATCTGTACAATCAGATGGTTTTCCTTAGCAATGTATTATGTAATAGTTTTTGGAAGAGCTTTTAATTGTCCCAGGTGACTTCTCTGACCCGAATAACAATGATCATTTGTCTTTGCAGAAATTTGTAGAATGAATACAATATATTTTACCCACTTTTGTTTTTAAACCTTATTTAACAATTATTGTTTAGAATTCTTTTTTGTGATGTTTTTTTTTCATTCAAAAAACCTTGTGTTTTCATGGTGTTACAGCAAAATACATTGAGTGTGTAGTTAAAGGTAATATCTTTGGTTAGCTAGTTGCTTGTTAGCTGAACCAAAGATATTACCTTTACCTTTACCTACACACTCAAGGCATTTTGGAGGGGCCTGATGGGGGGTTCTCATCACGATTCACGAGTTGATTTTTTTGTCGATCACGATTCACAGAAAATAAATTTTCATGATCACGGTTCACGAAAATATAAAAAAAAATAAATCTGTAAAAAAACGGATCACGATAGCGAAAATGCGCCGATCACGAAGATCGAAAATAACCCATCAGGCCCCTCATTTTGCTGTAAGTATTTCCCTAGCCACTTACCTATCTTTTTTGACTGAATAAAGTCATTTCATGATCACTTATTTAAATTCTATTAATCTTCTATTTAAGTGATTTTGGTAATTAAAATGTTTTCTTTGATCTTCAAATCATGATATCATTGATATTATATATTGTTTTCCGCAAAGATCTTTTATCCCTAAATTTTTCGTGTTTATCTTAATATACAAAATGTATCAATTTCATCAGTGTACTAGGCTGAGTAATTAATAAGGTAGTGGCCGAGGCTTACATTAAAAAAACATCTTGTGAATATTTCTGATATCAAATAATCATAGCTGACTATTTTAGCAATAAGATAAAGGTCAACATTTTTATGTAACCTGGTGAATTTGTTTCCTTTATATTTTATATTTAGAATGACAAAGGTTTATCCTTACTGTAAAACTGATGAACAGGCCTATTAAGCAGTGGAGCATTTATCCATGGATACTTCTGTTAACAATGGAAAAGTTGTTTGTTTAATTTATCAAGAAAATAATCACATATTTAAGAGATTTAAAGTTATATCTCAAATTGATCACTTATTTTAGTGATTTTTGTCAATAATGCGACTTTTGTTGCAAAAGCGAGACATAGCGGTCCTAAATTCCGTCGTCAGCGGTGTCGTCGTTGGCGGCGTTCAACAAATATTCACTCTGTGGTTAAAGTTTTTAAATTTTAATAATTTCTTAAACTATCCTAGATGTCTACCAAACTTGGACAGAAGCTTGTTTATTATCATAAGACGGTATTCAGAAGTAAACTTTGTATAAGTGTAACTCAATTTTACAATGTAATGTTTATTATTTTTTCTCCTTTTTATGTTTTAGATGAATTTGAAGACCAACTTAGAATGCAATTTATGTGAGAGAAATGGAGGATAAAGGTATGCCTTAATTTTTAAAACCTAATAATATCCCCACTTTAAAATTGGAGGCTTACAAGCTGCACTATAATGTGTCAAATATTTATTCGCAATTCAAATTCTGAGCAGAGTGAGCTGTACGTACTCCTGACTGCATAAAAATTAAGGGACGTTCTGTTAACAAAGTTTTTATTTTATTAAAATATTGTTTGTTTGCAGTTTACCAACCTACCGTTGAAAATCCAGCCGAGTGTGAAAATTTTATTGCTTTCGATTTAAAGAAATTATTTTAATACTTCTATTGACGCGATCCAGAACATTGGGTTGGTTCCAGAATTCCTCAGTTTTTCTTACCTTACCTACCCAACCTACACAAACATGTAGATAAAATGAATGGTTAGCTTGAAAAATAAATATTAGATGTATCTTTGCTTGCTCCTTTAAGACAAATGTTGCTGCCCCACTCATTGCAATTATTCTCTCTTACAATATAAAATTTACCCAAACTGAGTGGCAATAAAATTTATACTGTAAGAAAGTATTTTGTACTAGAGACACATACTTGGAATCCTAAGAGCTAAATAAGACATTTGTTTGATGGGACCTTGGTGGCTGAGTATTCACTGATTACACTAAAAACCAGTAGAAGTCTGAAGTGGCCTATATCTGTACTCGACTGTACTGATTTTTACTCGACCAGTCTAATTTGGCCTGAATTTTACTTAATATTACTCGACCCAGTCTTAACCATACTCGTCTGTACTGATTTGTACTTAACCCTTATATTTGCTATTGAAATTAGTCTGAACTATTACTCGACCAGTCTGAAACAGTCTTAACCCATTCTCGACCTGTACTCGACCAATACTTGACCAGCTCTCGACCTATTTTTTTCAGTCTGAACCATACTCGACCAAAGGTCTGAATATATATATATAATAATGTAGGATAGCTACTGTATCTCTAGCCTCTCATTGCCAAGATTTTGAGTTTAAACCTTTGCATGTGGCAGATGTGGTTTGAATTTAATCTTAATTCTTGTGGATTGTATGTATTTGTTCTGATTGGTGGTTCCTTGAGGGCATAACAGATTCCCTAGGCCTCATACTTGATAGCATAAAGCGCTAAAAGTGGCGTTTATCACCTATCAGTAACCAGTCAATAAATTGTGAATGGGTATTTCATTGTAGGTAATTCTGGTCAATTTTCAGATGTGGAAGGGAAAGGATCTTGTGATCCTGTACACACCTTAGAAGCCCAATGTTCTTATAATGAAGTAAAGGCTATGTATGATCCCTTGCATACCTCAAGATTACAAGGCATTTGTAGATTATGTGGAAAATAATTGAAAAATTATCAGACTTATCCTAAAAATCTGTTTAAGGAAGATATTCTTAAGTCTAAGGGTATTTGCGTTGATGATGAAGTAAATGAAATGTTTCCAGCTCGTATATGTAAGACTGATGCTCGGGAGTTCTATAGATTAAGGGCAGGGAAATGTGCTGAAAGCTCTTATATAAGTCGTCTGGAAACACCAATCTTTTATGAGTTGCATTGTGATGATTGCTCCTTATGTTCAAACAAGGTAACATTGCAAGGCCGCCCGAAGAGAAAGTCGTCATTAGAAAAGGGTGATATTGGGTCCAAAAAGCCAAAAATGGATAGCACTGAAGCAGGTACTAGTGAAGGATGTCAACCAAATATATATGGTCCTACTGATAAGACATTTGATTCTGAAGATACTGATAGAACAAAGGAAAGCAGTGAAAATTATTTTAGTTTCAATGAGTCTTTTATATTGAAACAAATCAATAAATTTTTAAGATATACCTCAAATATCCCAAAGATTGATATTTTGTCTGATGAACGAACTCTCTGGTAATGATTTGTCATTATTGTCATATTGCCTTGGGAATCATGTATCTCATGCAACTTCAAAAGATGCAGATCCTCAAACTCTTCTGTATAAAGATATGAATACAATGGCTGATTTCAATGTCTTTGATAGGATAAAAGAAAGGAAATATGTCCTTGTATCATTGTTACTTGGTGCTAGTGGATCAGATATAGATATTGCAAGTGTACACAATCAGCAACAGAAACTTATGAAGAAATTACCTTTATCAATGAACATTGTGGACCTTCATCACCGTTTGGACCTTCATCACCGTATGGACCTTCATCACCGTATGGACTCAGGACCTTCATCACCGTATGGACCTTCTTGGACTTTTAAATTATATACAATGCACATTTTCATCTCTTTTAAGACAACCATGTCTTGTACTTTAAATTGTCTTACTTTGTTGTCAAATCGAGGACGATTTGTTTTTCTGGGTAGGGGGTATTGTAACATTTATGGGTCATCGTAAATTCCCCTTTTTTTCGTGCAAAAAATGTTAAGGTCTGCTTATCATTAAAATAAATCTTGAAAATTAAATATTACCTTTTTAATGTACATCAACTGTTTCAACTTAATGTATGGGGACCTGTGCCAAAGTTTTTAACATAAAATATATAAAAACAGCAATGTAAATGTCTTAAATTGAACAAAATCAAAGAAAAGATAACTCTCGTTTTTTAATTTGTCAAAATTTCACACTTAAATGTCACTAAAATGTCCAGAAAATTTTGAACTGCAACGAAATTCACAATTGAATGTTAGATTTATTCCTATGTACATGTCTTAGTCTGAGTATGAACTACTTCTGGCAATATTCCTCAATTCTGTGTGATATCCTGAAAATAAAAAAGAAAAATAACATGAAAATTAAGCAAATATTATTATCATGCAAATATGTGAAATAAAGGAATTCTTATATTTTTGTTTTGTTTGATCAATGAAATGCAAGTGTTATTGAATATGAATTTGTTATAACTCATACTTAGGGTTCTCAAAACAACATTATAATGTTATGAAAAATTAAAAATAATGAATAAAATTGAAAATTTAAATGTCAGGTATTGATCCTAAATAATGATAGTTGTCATTTTTTTTCACACTCAAATGTTTTTTTAAGGAATTGAAAAAATAATCTTTAAAATACACTTTTCATTTGAATAATTATAACCAATCATTAGTCATTACTATGTTGAAGTGTTAGTTATAATGTATTAGTAATAATGTAACAAACAACAAAGTTAAAAAATCATAAGATATCAACATTTGTAAGAGTGCATTTACCATATTTTCAGAAAACAAGAAAACAAGATAATTCTTTGAACAATTCATGCAAATCAATGTCAGTGTCATAATAGATTTGGAATTGTAACAGAACCGGAACAATAACAAAACAAAAACAGTAACGTAACAAAGCTGGAACAGTAACAAAACGGAACTGGAACAGTTGTCTCACCGCCTCAGGAAGAATTTCCAGATTGCCATCTCTGTACTCTTGCTTCAGTTTGTAGGTATAAATGGCTGTGGCACTGCTAATAGTTGCAGTTGATTCATCGAGGTCACAATCATAAACAATGTTATAAAATTCTGGGAATCCTTTTACGACACTTAAAACTCTACCATTCCATTTTCCTTCCTTAAATGTATGAAGAACTTTTTTTCCAACAAATAATGGAACATCTCTAGCAACTCTCTCCTCAGATGGACCTTCAGTGGCAGCCACTATCAACTTTATTACATTACTCTTCAGTTTCTCAAGTGATAACGCTTTACCTTTCTCGGAGACAAAATACAATTTCTTATCCACTACAACTTGTTTCAGGACTTTCTGCCTGAATCTTATTTGAGATATCAAGGCTTTCCTTTTCTCTGTAACCGATGTTATTTCATTTAGTATATCATCAACTTCATCTGGTCTTTGCCACAAACCATAGTAAATTACATCACTTGTATGCTTAGATTTAGTTTTTATTGCAGCTTTTTGTTTTCTCTCCAAGGCAATTTGTTTTTCTCTTAGTTTTTCTTTACGTTTGTTTTCAATTTCTTTCAGTCGCTCCTGATATTTTGTCCTTATTTGCCTACCTTCCTTAATACTATCTTCTAATATTCTGTTCCTTTCATCAACAGGTAACACCTCTAACCAATCAGAAGTTTTATTAAAAACAAACATCAGGAAGGCCTCGTTACAAATTGTTGATGCGTTTGGCCTGTGTCGCAAGAAGAAGTCAAGTATACCAAAAACACGCTCTGGTATTTTGTTGTGAGGTATTACTGTTTTTGTCTGATCTCTGATGTCTTCTGTAGGGCTGAAGTATGCTCCTCCTGGCAATTGCTCCTTCAATATAAATCATTGCTTTAGCCAAGACTTGATGCAGTCCTTTGAAAGCAAGTTGTGCAAATGCACATGCTTTGTCATCTATTCCTTCATTGGCTTGCACTAGCTTTTCCAACATCTTGTTCTTTTCTACAAGTTCCTTTGGGAAAGGAAATTATTCGCCAGTAATGAAATCTGTGGAGTCCTTACTCATTCTGTCTAAATATGTTAACAGTGAAAGGTAGTTGGTATTCATATCTAACACATGCATGTTACTTTCTATGAGCCTCCATAAAGGTGCAGTTATCAATTTTGAAATCAGACCATGTACTTTACAACAAGCCAAAATATACTGTTTTTTAACAAGTTGTAAGGTTAACTTATGAAGTTTATTGTTAGCTCCGTGTACAATTTCAAAAAATGCTTTAATTCTTTCGTGCTGATAGAAGGCAATTTGTCCCATAAGAAAGATTATATTGAACCTGTTTCCCCTAAAATCTACAAACATGACATTTTCATTTTCTCTTTGACAATATGTTTTAAATGCGCTATAGCAGCCACTCTTTTCATCAACTCCTCGTCCAAAACATTTCCCACAGAAACGTAAGAAAGATATTGTTTTTGCATCAAAGGCATATATTTGTATATCAGGTCTGTCATCATCATCAGATGTTTCTGGAATAACCGTTTCTTTTTCTTGCATCCTTTCAAATTGTAAAAGTATGGGCGACAAACATTCTGCAAAATTAACCAATAAATGGAGACCACAAAAAAAATTGTTTACTTTAACTGTAGAGGTTTGTTCTCCAATTGTCAATTCATTCCAATTTTGTAAAAATGTAGGCATTATCTCTGTTCGATAATTTTGTAACAGTTCTGTGAATGCTATATTTGTCTGGGCCCTGTCAGACATAAAATTTCTGATGTTTGAAAGTATACTATGTCCATGTGATGTTATGTCATTGTTTCTATACGTTTCACAAATGTCTGATATGTCATCTAAAATATTTGCAAACATATCCAAAGTTGTGCTGGCAGCCTTATCATGCATATCCCGGAGTCCTAAAAAGTACACTTGTTTGTTATCATCACTTAATAAAAATGTCTGGTATGTTTTACCAAATTTCCGTGTCTCGTCCCCATACAAACATGTATCCTGCTGTGCACCAACTGTTAATTCAAGTTGTTTTTGACCAATAGCAATTTTTTCAACGATGATATTGTCAACTGTTCTTGTAGGTACAGCATTCGGTGTTCTATTGGCAAGTTTAAGGACCTCCTTAATAACTGGCCCAACATTATTGGATTTGATTTGATTTTTGGTGTTTTAACGCCACTTTTAAGCACCGCTTTTGGGCTATTTCGTGGCGGCCAGTTTTTATTGGTGGAGGAAGCCGGAGTGCCCGGAGAAAACCACCGACCTTCGATAGGAAAACTGACAATCCTAGTCAATTAAGATTGCAGTCGAGTGCACCCGCACGAGCGGGGTTCGATTTGATTTTGATTTGATTTTTGGTGTTTTAACACCACTTTTAAGCACCGCTTTTGGGCTATTTCGTGGCGGCCAGTTTTTATTGGTGGAGGAAGCCGGAGTGCCCGGAGAAAACCACCGACCTTCGATAGGAAAACTGACAATCCTAGTCAATTAAGATTGCAGTCGAGTGCATCCGCACGAGCGGGGTTCGATTTGATTTTGATTTGATTTTTGGTGTTTTAACGCCACTTTTAAGCACCGCTTTTGGGCTATTTCGTGGCGGCCAGTTTTTATTGGTGGGGGAAGCCGGAGTGCCCGGAGAAAACCACCGACCTTCGATAGGAAAACTGACAATCCTAGTCAATAAAGATTGGAGACGAGTGCACCCGCACGAGCGGGGTTCGAACTCACAACCTCAGTGTTAACTGGCTAGTGATAACAGTAGTTACTACTTAGACCACTCGGCCACCGAGTCCCCAACATTATTGGAAGACACATTGAAATTTGTTATATTCATAATGCACTGTCTTGTATCTGGTGTATAGGACTTTTTGACAGGATCGAAAAGAATAATTTCCTCATGATCAAATAGCAGTGAATGTAAATAATCTCTCTCCTCAGTCGCAGTTTGTAACTGTACTTTAAGATTAAGTAATGGATCAGGTTGATCTAACAATTGTAATTTATTATTTAGTTCTAAGACTGTTCTTTCTTCCTTTTCTAACTGGTACAAAAGTTTTGAATTATTTTGTTTTAGCACTTCAATTTCACGAAGGCAATTTGAAACTTTATTCTTTTCTGAAATCAGAGTTTTCTTTAAGTTTTTTTGTTTCTGTGTTTCTTTAATGATACTGCATCGTTCAAGTTTTCGGCGTAGTAAGATATTTTCATAAAATATAAGTTGTTTTGATTTTTTTATGACCTTCAGTTGTTCTAACAGTTTTTCATTTTCATTGTAACTTTTGATGTTTTTTGTGAAACCCTTTTGGTTTCTAGTCTTAACCTTTTGGTCTGTGATCGCAGTTCTTCAGATTGCGTTTTCTTTAAACTGAGAAGTTCTCGTTTGTGTTTGGACTCATTTTCTTTTATTTTTACTGCATGTTCAGATTTGATAATAACTAATTTTTCAACAGATTTCTTTTGTATTTCAGACATTTCTGTAGCTAAAGATGTGCATGTTTCTTTATACGAATAAAGTTCATCTTTATATAGTTTTCCTTTTGATGCAGTTGAAGTACTTGTAGCCACCGGTATTGAAAACACCTCATTTTCAAATTCTTCTTTTTGTTTTCCTCGTTTTCCTTTAAGTTTTTCTTTATACCGATGTAATTTTGAAATCAGGGCTGCTTTATTTATTTGGGTTTTTTCGACATCGAACATTCTGCAATTTAATTCTATTGAATATGTCTATGGCTAATTTTATAGTTATACTCATCTTGTTCCTCAAATGATTATATCTAAATTTTTACAGTCATTATAACAATCAAATATTTACAATATGTACAGGAAGGGCAAAAGAATTCAATAATTTGTCGGTAAACCACATGCTCTCTTCAACGCTTTCATCAGCGTTAAATATTGATGTTCCTCGATCTTGTGATCTTTCAGTATGTTAGATATTTTATTTTTAATATATTCAGACAATTTAATAGTAAGGTCAAATTTCCAATTAGACAAATTATATTTTTTTTAAATATATGAGAAGTCGATCTTTTAGAATTAGAATTTTGTTAGGCAAAATGTCTCTAAGAAACTGATGTGTCACTCTCAGGTCATCTCTACAGATCTCACAATCAAAATAGTCAATTATATTTACCGCTTCGTTTAAAATAATCTCAGGTATCTCCTCAACATGATAATTACAAGTTTGAGTACTTCTGGTCTGTGTTTGAGTTTGTGTTCCAATACTTCTCTGTGACGTGTGTCTTTTCACAGTGTCGAATCTTGACTTTGAGTCGGAGACTGCATTGATTTATATTTAAAAACTGCAATTGAAATAAAATGGATTTCAGAATGATTGATGATTGATTGATTGTTGGTTGCTTAACGTCCAGTGGCAAATATTTCATGCATATTCAGGACGAGAACAAGTTCACAATAAATACAATAGGTAGGTTTTGTAATAGATTAGGGATTATGGTCGGAGAAATTTAGACTGCCACGGGAAAATGAGGGTATATTGGATAGGGACAGAAATTTAGCCTTGCAACAGGTCACCTACGGACCCCTCAAAGAGTTGTTGCAAGGGTTCTTAACGTGCAAAGAGCGTGGCACTCTCTTTACACGAGGCATCGGATTTAACGTCCCCATTCTGACCGGACGTGGCTGCAAATTTGTACATCCCGCACAGCCAAACGGACGCCCCCACTTTAGCAAGGGTTTTACTGCCGGTCGGAGGAAGACCAATGGTGACCATACTTCTATTCCCCAGTCACCCTTGGGGGAGAGAATGATTGAACAGGTAATGTTATAACCATGAAAAGACACAGTGGCATAGCATCATTATCATACTTATTCATACTATTAATCATAGCAATTAGCATGCAAAAGTCAGATAACTTTATCATGCAAATTTCCAATTTGTTTTTCAATTCGGTCAGTATCACATTATTTGAAAAGGTATATGATAGTTAAATAATGTTACTTTTTTTCTTTTTTTTAATTTGTTATCATTCACCACCTGATCAGTTACTCAGCGGTAAAGTTTCCCTTATTAAAAGCTTTGTTTACATTTTGTTATTCCTGTCAACTGGGCGCTGCCATATTGAATCGAAAACGAGGCAATTATTTTTGATTTTACCAGGTTTCAAATATATCACTTTAATTATAAATACGGGGTTAAAGTGATAAAAAAAATAAAGTGAATAAATAGAAAAATGAATAATTTTGAATAATTTCATACTTACATTTGCGTATTTCAGTTTTTCAAAAATTTGACGCTCCAATTACATGTGGTTTCTTATTTTCAAAACTGGTGCCCCCAAGGATGATTTTTACGCTTTCAGTAATGATTTATACTAACGATCCGAAAGATCCCGAACATAAAAATGCACACATTTCAACGTGGTGTATTCCCCCTTTTCAAAATGAAGTTGAAGAAAATTACCGAGAAGTTCCGGACATATTAAACGATGTCAAACGGAGTTATCTCCCATGTGATTTACCGTCTCTACTAGATGTTTTATGATTTCGGGTTTATAAAGAGATGGGATTCATTTTGATAGCGATATTTAGAAGAATGGTTAATCCGAGGGATATTTTAGAGTAACGGTCGTCAATCTTCTGAATTGTTCGTGCCTTACTCTGAAATAGAATTTTGTATTATCGCATGTTTTAATAAAGGTCTTGAACTGGTCAATGATATTGAAAAATGTGTTTCAGACATTGCTCTGGTTGGACCGAAAATTAAACGGGAATAGAATTAATGCGATGTGTTTTTTTTTTACTGGACTAACTTTGTTCCCTAGTCATGGAATTACGAGGTTCATGTTCTAGTCTAACAAAGTCGGTGGGAACAAGTGGGTATATATATTTTATCTCGGAAAGGGAGACGTGACGAAGTTGATTGATTGAATAATTTTTTAGTTAAAGCGGACTAGTGTACATCTCTTAATATTTTAATTAAACGGACACCTCTAAAATTCTAGTATCTATCATTTTATTCAATTTGATAGCATTAAGGCCAAACCCTTCCTTGAATTGGTTAACTTTTTAAGGGTATTTTTCACCGCATCGTTTTATTCTAAAAGGGGAAGCTCGAAAATGTATTGAAACACTAAATAATTTAAACTTTCACATGGAGATACCGCGATATTTGAGTATTTATATTGTCTTTGTCTATTAAATATGAGACTGTTTTATGCATTTTGGTTACTTATTATATGAGCAAATACATTGCTTGGCAAAATCGTCATCCCTGTTCATTTTTAGGTTTCTTATACCTGTCATTTATTGAATTTATTGTTTCCTTGTATTGTCAGTATGCTGACCGAAGTCCTGGAGCGAAAGCACAGGCCGAACCCTCTCTACCAGTAACGTAAACGGCTGAGCTAGCGGGGTATAATCCCATGAGACAAATTATGAAAGGAAAACCAGTTTACACACAAACACCCCTTTACGTTGCAATACACAGGTAAATGAAAATAATTTTGTTGTTAGGTATACATGTTCAGTTCAAATGAGAGGAAATATTTTTACAAAATAAATAATTATGATGTTCAAAATACGAAGAAGTGAAAATATATAGTAATACCAAACACTTATCAAAGCTGGTGTAAAGACCAGATATAATCTTGAATAAGCAAACATTACATAACAAAAAAACATTACAAATAGTATCAACAAGTCAGACAAACAAGAAAGTACGATTTGAGAGTACTGAGACTGTTAATAGCTTTATATCAATTGACATGATTGATTATTTTTTTCAACCTCATTCATATAATGTATTTATTTAATTTATTTAATTGAAGATTTAGAGGAGAGTATAGTGTACTATGCTACGTCATGTACACCTCAACCTAGCAAGGCTCCATCACCCAGAAAAAGAAAGAGGGAACAGTAGATAAGAAAAGAAACTGGGACAGGTTCCCAAAGGAAATAAAGGGAAGCCAACAGAATCAAAGGGATTCACCACAGGAGGAGAAATGCATTTTACAAGGAATTGCTCCATATAAAAATGGGACACCAAGAGGGAGGGGATAGTGATTTTAAGATCAAAGGATCGTTTGATAATGTTTTATTTGAATGTTGTTCATTTGTAAATAAAGTGTTGAGTTCTATTGATTTATGTCTCGTTTCTGCCAATACCTGATATCAGGTATCCCAAGGATCGAATAGGGACGACTCTCCCCTAAGGGTGACTGGGGAATAGAAATATGGGCACTTGGTCTCCTTCCGACCGGCAGTAAAACGCTTGCCAGAGTGGGGCGTCCGTTTGGCTGTGCGGGATGTATCAAGTTTGCAGCCACGTCAGAATGATCCGTTAAATCCGATGCCTCGTGTAAAGAGAGTGCCACGCTCTTTACACGTTAAGAACCCTTGCAACAACTCTTTGAGGGGTCCGTAGGTGGCCTGTTGCAAGGCAAAATTGCTGTCACTATAAAAAACGAGAAACATTTTTGAACCACAAACGACAACCACTGTACATCAGGTTCCTGACTTATGACAGGTGCAAACAAATGCAGCAGGGTTAAAAGTTTTAATAGGAACCAACCTACATCCTTACCTGAAACAATAGTGTAACATCACAACACAGAAAGACAAACTAAAATATCAAGTGAAATGGCTCAACTCAATCAAAAGACATGAAAACAAACAAGTGAATTCTATGGTTAATGTTGTGAAAATCCATAGATGGTACCAGCGGGATTCGAACCCTCCATCGGGAACTTAAGGCAGCGCTCTAACCAATTGAGCCAAAGATCTTCCCTAACTAAATTAGTTAGACTACCTTTATATCTCCAGGTCTATTAATGTATCGATTTCACAACCCTTGTCTAGTGAGTCGTTGTTGTCTATCGTGTTGCATAACTATATACTAAAATTACTTTTACGACACATGATACAAGTCAATGAGGTGCATATGCCATGTACTTATAATTTCTATGACTCTGAGCTGATATGCTTTTCGTCGAACTCACAACGACAAAATTGTTTTTCATTTAAGCTGTCATCCTAGTTCTAGTAAGAACGTATTGTTGTGCCGATATGGTAAGATAGTGTTTCTGTACTGTGAGACAATCTGTGGAAACAAAATAAATATCTCAGACAGACAATATTATACAGTTACTGTAGCAGACAGCTTAGGACTTTCAAAATTTATTTTGGAAGTCTGTATTCAGGTAAACTGCAATCAATAAAAACAATAGAACTAAGGATAAAGTGAGAACTTCGTGTAAATCTACCAAATATTTTCATTCACAGTGACCCAGTGTTTGATTGGGTGCGACTTTTTACCCCAATATACCCCAACATACCCCTATAGACCTCAAAAAACACTTTCCACATAATATTGTTGAATAATAATATCATTTGGGGCAATATGCGTAATAGATTCTCCATAGGCGGTAATGTTAACGTTTTCTTCTGTTGCTCAGGCCATATCGTAAACTTGGATATGTATGATGGCTCATTTTGAAGCTGAGACACTTGCACATGTGTGGTGCGATTTTCGGGGTGGCAAGTGTGATTCGTTTTCCCGTCAAGTGCCCAACCCCGAAAGATAGTGAAAAATGTCACTCTCCTCAGGAAATAATCACAAAATTCTGACCATAAAAATCATTAAAAAATATATCCTTTGTAATTATTTGTTCAGGTTTATTTTTTTATACTTTTTTTCACATCACATCAGCGCTATAAAACACCAGTCCTAGTTCATTTATGTCAATTTTTAAAATCACAGCTTCCACAATTGTATGGCGGACTAATTTTTTAATGAGAGTCATAAATCTGTGTTCCTCATCTCAAGGTCCATTAGGGATATTGACCCATATTAGATCAGCTAATGTCAGATTCCACTTATATTGCAGTTTGTATCCCTTTAGTACACATTTCTGAACAATTCTGTGAAGTTTTAGCCATATCTGAAATAAAATAAGCTCATTTTAATACTTTTAGGTAGCAATGTTTATAACTGTTCTATGTCCTTTTTAAGGAAGAAAAAAACACAATAAGCATATGTTATAAATTTACATTTTAAACATTTGTTTTAACTTTTATTGGTATAACTGCAATTCATAAGCCTCTTCTACCTTACAGACTTTCTACAAATCCTCATTTTTTGTTGATAAATCATGTAAATATAGTGTTTTTCACTTAAAAACTATCAGTTTTAAGAAATTTTTCCACCCTGATAGTCTTGTTTTCTATTATATTTTTTTTTATTGAATAAATATCTCTAATATATGTTCATTACTGTAAAGATTAGTCACAGGCCTTTCCAAAACTAGTCTTGTTTTCAAAATCCATCAAGTAATAAGAATTTTAGAGGTTTTTTTGTATGTGTGTTGAAAGTGGGAAAAATGGGTTATTTCTTTGGTGAAGAGTACATTGTGACGTCATTGTTTTTGTGACGTCATTGCATTATGACATCATAATTTAGTTTGTACACATCTTACAGAGTGTATTGACATTGAAACATACCACACACAGCATCATACATGCAAATTAACACACATGTATTGCATAAAAAATTATTTTTCCTATCATGCACACATTCATTGATACAACATACAAAGAAATAAAATAAAATAAAATCATGTCCATATTTATTTCCATTTGCAACTATTTCAGTTCTGTTAGCTTTTAATTTTACTTTTGATATCCTAATTTTATAATTTTGTAGTTTTTGTTTGATTTGTTTGGTTTTTATATTGAAGATTTCTTTTAAAGCATGCTTACTTTAGTCTTTAGTTGGTTCATGTGGTTTGAATGTCCCAATTTCCTGACACAGTTAAAAATACATTTGTAAACAACAAGAGTTATTCCCCCTCCTATGTCAATAAAAGGTAAACACTCGTGAAACAAGCCGTAAAATGTGTTACCTCAGGTTAATATAAACATGCATGTTTGTTTCAGTGTCTTGGAGGGTGAGAGGGAGGGCTTTTATCCCATTTTCATTTTTTTAGCAGTGTAAGAAACTTGTATTTGAGTAAATGATTCATGTGTAGTGAAGTGTGCAATATGTTACCTCGGAGACTTAAATTTTAGAATTAAAAATAGAACAAACCACAGTTTAAGATGCAACATGCAGTTAGGATATGTTGTGCCATGCAGTTCATGAGTGGTGCATTTTTGTGAAGTTACACAGACCTTACGGTGGTTATTTAAATCATGGGGCTCAAAAATTATATGGTCAGCATTAACGCACAAGGCATTATGGCAGAGGTGCGAGGCATCTAAATTTCTATCAATGTCAACTGTTTTTAACTGTAACATTTTTGCCAAGCGTGCAACATTCATTTTTGTCCTTTTTCCATTTGGATAAGCCACATTTAGCATCCCTAAAATATAATTTCTTTTCCTCTGAATGGCCCCTGTCCAGATTTTACATGACCCATTTTCTGCATCAATGCTATTTAACAACAAAAAATTAGTATATTTTTTATAAAAATCAAAAGTTTGGGAAGCCATTTTGTATTGTTTTGATTAATTAGCACTAAAAGAGTGTAACTGACCTTGATTTCAGCAGCTATCATCCTAAATTGTGGTCACTGAGCCATGAAACACTCCATCACCTTTGAAATTCAAGGCCACAATTTGGGGCAATATGCGTAATAGATTCTCCATAGGCGGTAATGTTAACGTTTTCTTCTGTTGCTCAGGCCATATCGTAAACTTGGATATGTATGATGGCTCATTTTGAAGCTGAGACACTTGCACATGTGTGGTGCGATTTTCGGGGTGGCAAGTGTGATTCGTTTTCCCGTCAAGTGCCCAACCCCGAAAGATAGTGAAAAATGTCACTCTCC